CTCTCTCACCACTCTCTTCACCTTTCTTTTACTCTCCATATACTCAACTCTTCTTATAACACTTCTGCTTCGTAAAAACCTCTCATAAGCTACCTTTTTCTCTTTTATCACACCCTTTACTTCATCATTCCACCAATCACTCCTCTTTCCTCCTGCCCCCACCCTCCTATAACCACAAACTTCTGCCCCACATTCTAATACTGCATTTTTAAAACTATTCCAACCCTCTTCAACCCCCCCCCCCCACTACTCATACCTGCAACAGTCCACCTTTCTGCCAATAGTTGCTTATATCTCACCCGAACTTAGTTTATACACTTTCACCTCCCTCTTACTTGTTGCCACCTTCCTCTTTTCCCATCTACCTCTTACTCTAACTGTAACTACAACTAGATAATGATCCGATATATCAGTTGCCCTCTATAAACATGTACATCCTGGAGCCTACCATCAACCTTTTATCCACCTATATATGTATATATATATATATATATATATATATATATATATATATATATATATATATTTATATATAATATATATATATATATATTATATATATATATATATATATATTATATATATATATATATATATATATATATATTATATATATATATATATTAGCCAGAGGAATAATCTCCAGATTAACCAAGTCATTCTCGTCTCTACTTGTCTCTGACTAGATTTCCATTCCCATCTTAGAATTAGATCTGTAACCCCAGCATCATCTTAGAATTAGATCTATAACCCCAGCATCATCTTAGAAATTAGATCTATAACCCCAGCATCATCTTAGAAATTTGATCTATAACCCAGCATCATCTTAGAATTAGATCTATAACCCCAGCATCATCTTAGAATTAGATCTATAACCCAGCATCATCTTAGAATTAGATCTATAACCCCAGCATCATCTTAGAATTAGATCTATAACCCCAGCATCATCTTAGAATTAGATCTATAACCCCAGCATCATCTTAGAATTAGATCTATAACCCAGCATCATCTTAGAATTAGATCTATAACCCCAGCATCATCTTAGAATTAGATCTATAACCCCAGCATCATCTTAGAATTAGATCTATAAACCCCAGCATCATCCTAGAATTAGATCTATAACCCAGCATCATCTTTTGAATTAGACCTATAACCCAGCATCATCTTAGAATTAGATCTATAACCCCAGCATCATCTTAGAATTAGATCTATAACCCCAGCATCATCTTAGAATAGATCTATAACCCCAACATCATCTTAGAATTAGATCTATAACCCCAGCATCATCTTAGAATTAGATTCTATAACCCAGCATCATCTTAGAATTAGATCTATAACCCCAGCATCATCTTAGAATTAGATCTATAACCCCTACATCATCTTAGAATTAGATCTATAACCCCAGCATCATCTTAGAATTAGATCTATAACCCCAGCATCATCTTAGAATTAGATCTATAACCCCAGCATCATCTTAGAATTAGATCTATAACCCCAACATCATCTTAGAATTAGATCTATAACCCCAGCATCATCTTAGAATTAGATCTATAACCCCAGCATCATCTTAGAATTAGATCTGTAACCCCAGCATCATCTTACAATTAGATCTATAACCCCAGCATCATCTTAGAATTAGATCTATAACCCCAGCATCATCTTAGAATTAGATCTATAACCCCAGCATCATCTTAGAATTAGATCTATAACCCCAGCATCATCTTAGAATTAGATCTATAACCCCAGCATCATAACAACGAACATTTCTTCTAAAAATATCTATTCTAACTTTTTCTTAGCACTCTCAGGAATAAACGTTTTAAGGAGTCCTTGAGTACACAAGAACGTACCCTGACATAAAGTCTTGATCTGAGATCAAGGACCTGTCTTGATAAACACACGCAGCGTCTCTGTTGAGTACGACTCTGGTGTCCCAGGTGAGTCGTGTTGCTGGACTTGTTTTATTCATCTGATCAGGTTTACGCCGCGACCTGTTGTTCTTAGCACATAAAAACTACGACTCATGAAGGTCAGGTTACTCAGCTGTTGCTCACTCTCTCAGGCCATCACCACCCTGGTCCCTTCCTCTTCTCAGCTCCCTCTTACAACTATCCATCAATTCTCTCTCCCAGCTTCAACTATCCGGGGTTCGATCCCCGGTACCGGTGAAAGTGTTGGGCATGTTTCTTCACACTTGCTGTCCCTATTCACCTAGCAGTAAGTAAGTATCTGAGTGTTAGCCACTTCACACCTGCTGTTCCTCTTCACCTAGCAGTCAGTAGGTACCTGAGTGTTAGTCGGATGGTATGGGTGGCATCCTGGGGGTTGGTAGTATAACAGCTCTTAGCCTGTAAAATTGATTTGTGTGGAAAAAAAAATCCACCTACAACTATACATCAATCTTCTCTCATCTACAACTATCTACCAACCCTCCCACCTTTCACACCCTTCACACTTTTTCTCCTGCATATTCCTCACATCCCTCTCACTCTACCACCCT